TGAGGTTATGTAGAGATAGTAGTAATCACAGATCACAGCGGTACTCTGTAATCTGTGGTAGCAATTAGCATGCACATAGAAGTAAGGTGTAAATTTCGCACCGACAGGCTAGCAACCTGAAGGTCCGAGGTTCGAATCCCAGCCGTGCACATGCAAAATCAAAAAAGTAGCGAGCTGGTAAAATTGCACTAATAAGTAGCAGAAGCCCCGAATGAGCTGGCAAATTGCCCGAAAAAGGAGCAGAGCCATCTGTAGGAAAAAAAAAAAAAAAGGTGTAAATTAATAAGATGCCCCTGCTAGCAAGCAGCTAGCATGGAGAGAATGCGATGCTATGGCATACGGATGCCGGAGCTGACAAATTCTTAGAGAGGACTACAAGTTTTAAAGGATAACTCCCGAAAACTCGTAGTACCAAAAAGGGGGTTTTTTAGATGGTAAGAATCCAACACTACCCAGGGTTCGGAACACTGGGTGTCTTCGCGAAGATTTTTATTCCTCCAGCCGCCGGGCAAACAAAAAAAAAACAAAAAAAAAATGAAATTTGGAACTATCATTTGGCAACATCAGGAAAAGATTGCAGGGAACCTGATTTCACTATTGCCGGATCCCCAAAACATAATTTTTCTTTAGGAATATTTTTTAGTGGGTACCGCTTTATTATTTGTGAACATTCTTCGATATAAAAATCTAAACACCTTAACTCAAAAAATGTCAATTGCTCTTCTGTAATTACGGATTCTAAAATTGTTTTCTGTACATTAACACCTACATAGATGTCAGAAACGGGCAATAAATTATTAGGATTTTTAAAGTCAATGTTGGAAATTGGAACAGAAAGTAAGTAATTCCTTTTTAAAAAACAGTCAAATGTATTTCCGAGTATGTTTCTCATATGAAATGTGTTATATTATTTTAAGTAACCCACTGTACATTTTTTAACTTTTATTTGTTACTTTTCGGTAGTAATCTGTATTGTATCGGTAGATCGGTAGGTTCCTTGACGAATCGGTAGATCTACCGAAAAATCGATAGACCTGGCATCTCTATATGAACGACTTTCCCCACTCTTGTGATAGTCATCAATTCGCTCGTCTGATAAGGCGTCAACTCTAACCTCTATCTGGTGTGTGTGTGTGCGTGTGTACAAAGGTGAACCGCATGGAGCTCAGGGTGGCCAACTTCTCAAACGCGTGTTACCGTATAAGCCATTTGAAAATACCGTATTTGAAGCTCCATTACCGTACCAGAGATTCATTCATGAGGTCACGGTTCATTGACCAAAAAAAATTATAAAATTGTTGTTACCGTAAAATATATTTGTAAACAATACCGTAAATTGGTGTACGGTAACGTGTTAGTGACCTACACAAGAGATTCACCTAAAAATACTGACGATCTGGAGGACTTACGCGAAAAATTACAAGATTAATTTATAACTGTAAAAAATTTACAAAAATTTTTTTCAGTGTCTAATTCGGGACAAAAACGAAAATAAATTCCTACCTTTTTTTCCCGAAAACCGTTAAGGTTTTCTCCAAAACCGATCACAAATCTAAATGTTTTTAATCGAAAACGCAAAAAAGCATTATTTTCTGATGATTCTCTTCTTCTTTGACAATAATGAGGTGTTTTCAGCAAAAAATTACAAAATTAATTTTGCTACAAAATTCGCCTCATTTATCGGTTTGCAGAGAACTTTATAAAACCCATTTCAGCTTCAAATTTGGCACAAAAACCAAATAATTTTATTCAGTTTTTTACCGAAAGTAATCAGGACTAAAAATGGACTAGAGAGCAAAAGTTTACAAAGAATTATTGGGAAAATTCGCCGCCCCCATCGCTCTGAGGTTTTGTAAAGTTCCTTTAAATTTTCAGGTCATTCCAGTTTTAACACAGCTTCTATTAAGAAAATTTGCATTATTTTTCAGTTTACTTCAAATACTAACTTTGAATTATGGACAAAACCATAATAATGATTTTTAGGTCTTTTTCCAAAAATATTTCCCCGAACTGAAAAAGCGAAAGTTTATAATCATTTATTTGGAAAAATCTTGGAAACTTGAGTTTCTTCTTGGAAACTTGAGTTTCTTCTTGGAAACTTGAGTTTCTTCACTTTTAGGTAAAAATGTTAAACAACACTGTCTCTAAACAGAAAAACCACTTTTTCCTAACGTTTTACTGTAAAATACTGGCAAATTAAATCTGTTACAAGAAAACTCGTCGACTTTCTTTGGACTCAGTTCTGTTGCTGGGAAGATCTAGACTTACTTTTTTAATTGTTTAAACAAAGTAGTAAAATGTTACTCTTAAAAAATGTTAATAATCCTTTTTTAGATGTGAAAATTCCAGTCTCGGGTCTCGTAAAGCTTTAACAAATGATTTAAAACTCATTAACCGATGAGTTATAATTCGTTAACTCAGAGAGCTGCATTATATCGGCAAGGTAAAATAAATTGACGTTATCTCCCTGATAGTACTACTTGGAGTCAAATATAACCTATTTTAGGACTTTATCTAGTCTAGTTATGTAAAGACCAAGCGATAAACTGTACAGGTCGTGGTTTGGATGGTGCACTCCAACAGGTCAAATGATAAAATTTTCATTTTTCGTTGATTAAACAAAAATTGAACGTGATAATCACGTAACATAAACGTTGAAATATTCGTTGAAAAATTCGCCTTTGACGCGTCATACAGACGTGATCATCCCTCACAATATGACGCAGTGCAATTACGTCTATAAGCGACGTAGACAGACATCACAAAGCGTTCAAAATGTGTTTAGTAATGAGAAAGTAGTCAAATTCCTTAGTTTCGGATCTTGAGGTTGTTCAAAATATTTCTAATACTATACACTCTTAAAAGTCATATTTTTAAGATCTGCATCCTAAGGTGTTCCAATTATATCCAATACTACAGATTTCCCAATAATTCTTAATCAAAGTAATCGAATAATCATCTTATTTATAATACTGTTTTTTAAATATTTGGAATACTTTAGATTTTTCATTCAACCTCATTCACGCTCAAGAATTGCCAAAAAAAAACACTTTTTTTGACGGTAGAAATTGTCAAATTGAGTGATGTAATGTGGATTTCGCAGTCAATAACTGACGGTTTTCACGCGTCAAATTCAAATGTTTGC